AAAAAAAAAAAAAAAAAAGGGAACAAGACTCTGGAGCCAGACTGCCCACATTTGAATCCTGGCTCTACCACTTACTAGCTGTGGTATGATAAGTAACCTCCAATCCTCAGTTTCCTCCTATGAAAAATCGACATGTGAGAATTAAATAAGATAAAAGTACCAAGAATGGTGCCATTAGAAGGGAAGCGCCAGGGGACAGAGATTTTTGTCTGTTTTGTTCATAATTGGATCCCCAACACTTGGAACAGTTCTGGGCACATAGTAAGTACTCAATAAATATTTGGCAAATGAACCAATAGTAAATGCGGAGTAAGTATTAGCTATTTTATTATTATATGCAATGAACTTCAAATACATAGTGCTCATTCTATTCACTGTATTTTCCAATATATGGATAAATCAAGAAAAATCAAGATATTCTAGTGAATTACCAATTTCCAAGAATATATTTTTTGGCTATGCCTAGCATTTCAGCACAAGAATACAACATCCCACATCAAGAGGGTGAGAACTAAGATATTTGCAAATTCTTGACTCAGCAGCATTTGTAACTTCTCTGGGCTGATACGAAATAGCATGTCAGGCTGGAAAATAATTCCTTTTTAGTTGGAAACAATGTCACCAATGTGCCCTAATCAATTTTCCTTCAGAAAAGTCACTGGGAAAAGGTACAAAGAAAAAGTTGACTAAAATTTGGTAAGAAATATATTTAAGACCTGTTATTATATTACGTAAAATCCTAGTTTTAAAATAAATCAGGAAATAGTCATTTAATTTACAAAAGTATATCACAGGATTTCTTTAAGTAGCAAATTCCTCCCTATAGCACTTAGAATCTAACTTTGATTCTTTTCAATATATCTTGTTTAAATTGAGGTACATGTGTAGAGGTGCCACTAACTCCCAGGAATACACTAATTTAAAATCCACTTTATTATTACCAGATGGGTGAGAGAGAAAGCAAGAGATTTAAAAAGAAAAAAGAACTCTTAGCCTTCCTAGAGAATCAAATTTCTCCTAACTAGGGGAAACAAAACCCAACAAGTAGACTGTTTTCATACCACTTGGCTCTGCCAGGTATTTTCTAGAAGCCACTAACCAAATTAAAAAATTGAGCCACTGGAGATGAATGCCGCAGGCTTTACAGATGTCTAATAACCCTATATTGGACTTATCACTCCAATTCCTGGCTTAACTACAGATCTATATGCAATAAAAACTCTTCTATTTGCACTCTGAATTAGGATTAGGATTAACTAAAATTCTTCTTGAGGGGGTCAGTTACTGAATGGCTGCCTGGCACAGGTGGCACCCTCTGCTAGGTGAAGTGCTACTCCTTTAACACCCCGTTCACGAGTCCCTTCCTTCCCATCCCCTCGTTCCCTCATGAGGCAGATACAATCTGTCTTCTGCTTATGCAGATCCTCATTCCAAACTTTTGTCTCCTCCTTTTTGATCCATTTGTGGGCAAAGATTTACTCTTCTTTCTTCTACATAATTTCCTTACCTTGTACAGGCTCATTATTCTCATTGTATCCTAACATAATTTTTTTTGTTCTACATATCTGTCTCTACTACTATACTGTGAATTCTCTGAAAGCAAGGTATATGTTTTACCCACTTTTGGATCCGTAGCACCTGGCATAGTAATTGCTACATAGTAGGTATTCTCAATAAATATTTGTGAAATGAGTGAATGGTTAATAGAAGTATTCTACAGAAACCTACTTTACTTTCACTTTCTGCTTATTCCATACTCTGTTTAATAGTGATTCTCAACCACTGGGATCATATATCTAAT